AAATCCTGTTTTTGCACTACATACTGCGTACTGTATTGAGTAAGGGGATAGTTCACTTGTCATCAAAGCTGTCATCATTTTCCTTATGACTTACTTTCTTCTGCGTAATAAAATATGTTGGGGTATAAGCAACTTTGGACCCCAGTGACTTTCATTTTATGGACAAAACAAAACAAAAACACATTGTTTGGAATGACATGAAGATGAATAAATGATTATATTTTGAACTGACAATATATAAATCCTTCAGTGTGTAAAACTGCCTTAAAATCAGCCTGTAAAATCATCATCGTCATAGTCAGACTTTTTCGGTTTCCTCACCACAAAAATGCACATTGTTTCCTTTTCCTCTAAATGTTTAAAACCAAAACTGAAAATGTATGATTTAATGCAGCAGAGTAAATGTTAAATGCAAAAATGAAACATGTAAATGAAACTACTGTGAACTAGACGTACACTAGACAAAATACATACTAATACTCACTAATGGTATAACTCACAAAATACTCACTAATGGTTTAAGTCATCCAGGAGCAGATGATCTTCTCTCCATCACAGCTGAGAAGAATAATGATGACTCTATCATTTCAGTTCATTTGTGAGAAAAGAGAAGGTCGAGAGGTCGAGAGAGAAATTAGAGCAGAACAAAAGAAATGAAGATAAACAGAGAGAAAGAGGAAACAACATCCACAGATGGAGAAATAACACAGATGGATTTGATCTAATAATACAGCGGTTCTCAACCAGCAGGCCGCAACTTAAAATGATTAAAAAAATAAGACAAAACAAGATTTTCAATTAAGCTAAAACTTCTAAACATCAAGATGTTTATGAGGGAATATTAGAAGTGTGATTTTTAGACCTGGAAAAGTCATGAAAAAAAAATGCAATCTCTAAACACAAAAACAAAAACCTTAAACTCGTGGAAGTAAGTAAAATCTTACAACCCCAACTCCAGAGAAGTTGGGACATTTTGTCAAATGCAATAAAATCAAGAATCTGTGATTTGTTCATTCTCTTTAACTTTGATTTAATTGACAAAAGTACAAAGAAAAGATTTCCAAAGTTTTCACTGACCAACGTAAATGTATTTTGTAAATATGAACAAATTATGATTTTGATGCCTGCAACACACTCCAAAAAAGTTGGGACAGAGGCATGTTTAACACTGTGTCACGTCAACGGTTCTTTTAATTACAATGTTTAATTGTTTAGGAATTGAGAAAACTAATCGTTAAAGTTCTGCAAGTAAAACTTTTGTCCAATCTGGCTTGATACAATACTTCAGATGCTCAGCAGTCTGTGATTGTTGTTGTCTTTTCATGACTGGTCATACATTTTCAACAGGAGTCAGATCTGGACTGCAGGCAGGCCAATCTAGCACATTCACTCTGTCTATGAAACCACGCTGTTGTAGCACATGCAGAATGAGAGCTGGCATTGTCTTGATCTAATAGCCATGGACTTCCCATGAAAGACGTCATCTTGATGGCAGTATATATCTCTGTACAATCCCAATATATGCCTCCATGTCTATCTGAGATGAGCTGTGTCCCAGAGAACCCGGCAGCATCGCTGCATAGAATTGATGTATAGCTTTTTCCTAGAGTAACAGAGTTTCAAGTTGCATTTCTTGATGCAGCAGCAGACTGTGTTAAGTGACAGCAGTTTTCTGAAGTACTCCTGAGCCCATGTGGCTATATTTAACAGCATGACGGTTTCTTATGCAATGCCATCTGAAGGCTCAAAGGTCAAGCGCATTTAACTGAGGTTTCCTGCCTTGCCCTACATGTACTGTGATTTCTCTGGATTCCCTGAACCTTTTCACAATATTATGTATGGTACTTGGTGAAAGACCTAAATTCTTTGCAATTTTGCATTGCAAAATGTGATTTTTGATTTGTTTGACACTTCTCTCGTGAAATTTGGCACAAAGTGATGAGCCATGATCCAGCTTTGCTTGCAAAGATTGAAATGCTCCTTTTATACCCAAACATGATACCTTGACCTATTACTAATTTACCTGCATACTGTGAACTGTTCCAAAACTGTTTAAAGTGGATATTCTATAACCTTTTCACTTTTATTTTACCTCTGCCCCAACTTTTTTGGAATGTGTTGCAGCCGTCAAAAACATTTTTTTTTCATATTTACAAAATACATTTACGTTGGTCAGTGTACTTTACTCAATTAAATAAAAGTGAAAGAGAATGAACAAATCACAGATTCTTGATTTTATTGCATTTTACAAAATGTTCCAACTTCTCTGGAGTTGGGGTTGTAAATGAACATACATTTTTCAAGTTAAGTTGAGCTCTAAAATATTTTATCCGATAGAAAACTATCCTCTTATCCTCAAAAAATACTGTAATAAAAAAAAACGATCAAAAGCTTCAGTCGAGCACAAGTGCAGAATAACTGACTGAATTAGTGAACATGTGTCTAACAAAAACACTCAAGACTGATAAATGAGGCTTGTGTTCATTCATTCATTGGTCGAATCTAAGAGAAAATCACATGTGGCACAGATTACAAACATGCTGATTGACAGCGATGCTCACAGACATTCAGAGCTGAAGATAAAACACACTCAAATACTAACAAAGGCACTTCTGAGTCACCGTCCCTGAGAGAAGAGATCTGAAAATGTAAGAAATGTCACAGCGACAGCAGACACGTCAACAAGACATTCCAGTCGTTTACATCCACAAACTTTGTTTCTCTGCTCGTGTTGTTCATTAGGATCTTTGACTAGATTTAAAAAATGACAATGATATTGACGTCCTCCCTTTAAACATGTTCATCTGTGTTGCAGTAATATATGGAAACCCATTTCAGACAAAAAAAAAAATCATGCTTCGGTAAATCATAATTATGACACGTCAAAATTGTGACACTCTTAAGTCATATTTCTGAGATGAAAAATCAAAATTATGACATACCAAGTAACATTTATGATGTGAAGTGTGCCAGTCATATTTATGAAGTTAAAAAGTCGGTTATATTTATGAGAAGAAAAGTCATATTTATGTCAATTTTGACCTAGTATGTCATAGTGGTTAAACGGATCGTAGTTGATCCGTGATCCGTACGGACCAAGCCCCACGGTTCGGCACGCATGTTTTCCATGGATTAATTGCAAAATTGAACCATAATAGAGTATAAGTTTATAATTTGTTCGTATTTACACAAGCAAGCGAATTTTAAACAATTCCAGAGAGAAAAGGCGAAAGGGAACTCGATTAGTTACTTGCACGCTGTTCTCTACGTGCACAGCCGCACACACATAAAGCACGCACAGATGGCGCGCGAACACCGAACTGAATCCTCTGAACAGACACATACACATAAAATTATGACAAAATACCCATCTCGACAATCATTCAGGTAAACGCAGTCAGTTATGTCTCAAGTGAATGAAAACAGCTGAGAAAGAAATCGGATGTGATGTGTATCATTATATCGGATCCGTGCATCAGGTCTTAAAGGGACAGCGGCCTATAAATACTGCTGCTGTCATTGATGATCATCAAACAGCAAAACAGCTGTAATAAAAATCTATATTTAATTTATACAGCGAACACTGCAGTGTTATTTTCCCTAATTATTACATTTCTGTATTTGAATACTACCAACCTTATTTTATTTGTAACATATTCTGTTGTATTTA